ACTTCTTAATCATTGTCAGGAGACTTTCTACCTTACTATTCCAAAAGTACTTGACTTTCTAGGCATGCTTAATGAGTAGTCTAGCCTATCTTGTGTAAATGTCAAACTTACATAATTGAGTTTTGCCAGCTTCATAATACTGTTGATGGCATGACATGCTGTATGCACACTCTGTTATTACAAAACATTAAACATTGTCAACAAGTAGTGGCAAAAAATTATAATTCAATCTCTTTGTGAATTTCATTATGCAGAGGAGGAAAGATTGGATGTTTTCCTCCCTGTTAATTGACATGTAGGACAACTCTGTGCCCTGCTTCAGTGCCTCTCATTGTTAAAGCCCCACACTAAGAGATAACGCTTCTGTGTCATTAAGGATTTATGCTCTGTGTACTTCACGTTAACTTTAAACTCATATGTAGTTATTGATAAGTTAAGAAATATACCAGTGATGTGAGATGTTCTGAACTTGTTTTAGGTAGTTTTTTGAAATAATTTTGATGACTGAAAAGGAATTGAAAAATTTGTTTTCAGATGGTATTAACATTTTTTGCAATTTACTAATATAATGTAGTCTCTATGGGACTCTATTCCTTTTAAAGCAAATCAGGAAAAAGTACACTAGAATCCTTTTCCAAATCATGGCAAATGAGTGTGTTTTCAAAACTCTGTCCATACCTGCAAGAGAGGGAAAGAGGGAAGGGGAGAGAGAGAGAGAGAGAATGCAAGTGCAACATCTTACATCCAAATACGGAAGTATCTGTGATCTATAACATGCCCATCCCCCCAAAATATTGACTTACGTACAAATTCTACTTTAAACTTAGTGTTTTTGAAGGAATTATTATTATTATTATATTATTTTAATGAGTGGATTTTGCATTGAATGTTTCCAGAGGCATATTTTTTTTCCTAAGTCTTGTTAATGACTGATAGAAGCTGTTAGTAATTTTAGCTAAAATAGTTTTCAGGTTGTCATAGTCTATACTTAATAAAGAAAAAAATAGTATTTGGGAAGTCTTAACATTTTTAATGTAATTTTGCATTATCAAATCATGGCGAGTTGAATGTTATATATTTAATGAATCAACCAGCACCAGTTAGAAAGACAGATGGGTAGTGCGCCATTTCAAAATCTGTGCAAATATAAAGACAAATGGGTGGTTTCAGCGGTTTAAATGTCTCCATGAAAATGTTTTGTGTAGAGCATGACTACTGACATTACACTCAAAAATTTGAGAAATTAGGAATAATAGAGTTCATATAAAAAAGTAATAGTTCTTAAAAATGTGACTTTAAATATGGTACTTGCTGAATTCATTAAGTACATGTTTAACTGACATTAAAAATGAACAAATTAGAACATACTACTCTAATACTGTTGCCTAGTAATTGCTTGTTTTATTTTTTTATTATGAATATGTAGACTGTAGAAAATATTTTTTCAGTTGAAATTAATTTATCTGGATAATTGTCTGCTGTCTGGATAATTGTCAGTCTGTTATCAGAACTAATTTGTTCAATTTCAAGTTGTAGACACTGAAACTAGCTTAACTCAAAAACAAAAACATTGGAAAAGGCCTCAGTGTAGTACCAGCCTGCTGTAGCAGCCTCTGTAGCAGAGGTTAGTGAAGTTCCACTCTACTTCAGGCACTAACATGACTTGGATTCTAGCCAAAAATTGACTCTGATATGGTCTGGTAGGCACCAGGGATCTTGCACTTTATCAGTTTCCTCCTGATCTGTTTGGGTAGGAGGGGAATGTGCTGGTGGTTTTAGGTGAAGGCTCTGGGGCTGCCTGTTGATGTGTTAACTGCATTGACTCTTGAAATACATTTCTGCGAGAAGGATGCTGAGTAGCAATATTCATGGACAAAAATGGTGTGTATATTATTTGTGAAACATTATCATGGTACATCTGGGAGAATATTCCTGAGAATGTTAAAAGTCATCCATGATTAGTATTATTGAGTGATTACCTTGATAATTGAGTGATTAAAAATTACTAAATTAATAAAATTATCTCAAGTGTTGCAGAAAATGAGTAAACTTCTCCAGGGTTTTATATTACTGAGGGAAGAAGTTTATTTGAAGTCTGATAAACATTTAGAAAATTCAAAATTCAACTGCAATATAATTTTTAGCAAATCATGTAGTATACCTCATAGTAATGAGAATTATTTTATACTTGTTATACATTTAAATATTTGTATGATTATATACTGGTTCGTGTCATCAAATGTATCATCCAGTGCAAGGAAATGCAAGCAAACTGTATTTCTTATTCAGTTGCTCTGACTGGGCATGGTCTGGGGGCCTGAAGTTTCCTTTCTTGGCAGACATTCTTAGATTTCCCTGCGTTTTGACTGGAGAGACTTTTAAATTGGAACCACTGACATGATTGCTGAGCCCAAGTAGAATGACAGCCGAGGCATCAACAGTTCTCAATGCAAGATCTGTTTTTAGGGAGAGGATTTATTTGGAGTATGTCCTTGGAGGGAGGGCAGAAATTAATAAATATTTTGTAAAATTTATTTCCTGCACCCAAAGTGACAAGAAATACTTTTTTTCTGTTTGCATCAAAAGCTTAAGCTCTGCTTAAATTTTACTTATTATATATTCACTTACATTGGTAATCTGTAAATACTTTAAAAAATTTTTTTTACTTGAAATGCAGAGAAGGAGGGAGGAAGGGAAGATGGGAGGGTGGAAGAAAGAGAAAGAGAGAAAAAAAAGAGGAAAGGGAGGAGGGAGAAAGATATCTTCTATTCACTGGTTCACTTGCCAAATGGCTTCAGTAGTTGGAGTTGATCCAGGCTGAAACCAGGAACCTAGAACTCCATCCAGGTCTCCTACATGGGTGATAAGGGTGTTAGCACTTAGGCTATCATCTGCTGCCTTCCCAGGCATATCAACAGGAAGCTGGATTGGGAGCATAGTACCTGGGACTTGAACCAGTGTTCTCTGTGGGATTCTGGCCTTGAAGATAGTAGCTTAACTCACTCTGCCAGAACGCTGGCCCATATAAATAGTTTCTCAATGATTTTAATAAAGAAACCACAAAAAATTTTAATTCATTACATTATCAGGATTTCCCAGACTTGCCATATTGTCTAAATTGCTCTGTTTGATTTTCGGTCATGCAGTGCTAAGAATTGCCCTACCCACACAAGGGGACTCAAAAATCACATAGGAGAAAGAAATTAAAAGAAGTAAAAAAAAAAAAGTAAACCTTATCACTCTACATAAACTCCATCAGGGTTGACATACTTTTGTAAGCAATGATACCAGCTATGTAGTCAGTCCACTCCTAAAAAAGTAATGGTCCTGGGAATGTATGTCAATACAATGTTTGACATTATTAATTGAAGAAAAGTGAGTGCCCATTAAAGATTTTTTTAAAATTTAGAAACAAATAAGTCAGAAGGAGCCAAATCAGAACTGGAAGGTAGATGATAATGATTTCCTGTTTTTTTTTTTTTTTTTTTTTTTTTTTTTTTTTTAACTCTCACAAATTACCCTTCCCTGGTGAGAGGAAGGAGTAGGAGCATTGCTGTGCTGGAGCAGCATTCTCTGGTGAAGCTTTTCCAGGTGTTTTTCTGCTACGACTTTGGCTACCTTTCTCAAAATACTCTCCTAATAAGCAGATGTTTTTGTTCTTTGACCCTTCAGAAAGTCAACAATCAAAATGCCTTAAACACTCCAAAAAATGTTTGCCAAGACCTTTGCTCTTGACTGGTCTGATTTTGCTTTGACAAGAGCATTTCTGTCTCTTGGTAGCCATTGCTTTGATTGTGCTCTGTCTTAGGATCATACTGGTAATGCTGTGTTTCCTCTCCTGTTACATTTTTTTCAAAGAAATATTTCAGGATCTAGATCTCACATGTTCAAAATTTCCATTGAAAACTGCTTTTGTTTGCAGCTGATGTGGGTACAACAGTTCTGGATCCTACTAAGCAGACAGTTTGCGCCACTTTAACTTTTCAGTCAGAATTGTGTAAGCTGAGCCAGTTGAGATGTCTATGGTGTTGGCTGTTATGTCTACCATTAAACATTTTTTTTTTAAATTAGAACATGAACAAGGTTAATTTTTTTCCTCTAAATTGGTGTGGATGGTGTGCTGCTGCGGGCTTCATTTTAAACATCATTATTGTCCCTTCTTCAAACACACTATCCATTGTTAATTGCTAATTCTGGGTGGGCTTTGTCATCCTCAAAGTATCATAAAGCATCAATGATTTCACAGTTCTTTCATCCAAGCTTCACCATAAATCGGATGTTTGTTCTTGCTTCAATTTTAGCAGAATTCATGTTGCTGGGACAGGGGCTCCTTTCATACTGATACCTTCCTTCTTCTTAGTGCCTCATACTGGAACCTCTTGTGAAATGTTAGTACAAATTTATTTTAGTGCAAAAACATTTTGAAATTCATGGATAGTTTTTGTCTCATGATATTCATTTCATTTGAGTTTTTTGATGGTAAGTTGTAAAGTCATATTTCCTTATCATCTTAGAAACTTTCTCTCTCTCCCACTTATATAACATTGCTTATTTCTATGTATTCACTCAATATTCCATTTCATCAAGCTGAATGTCAGAGGCTCGGTTTTGCTATGTATTGAATTCTCAGTGTTTAGCACAGTTCCTAGTAGAGTTCAGTTTATAATCATTAGATGAAAAAAAGGAACAAATGTAGGGAAAAGGGGAAGGTGAGAGGGAAGAATTATTGCCTATTCTGTCTTGTACTTTTCCAGATATGACTCATCTTTCAAATCTATTTTCTCCACAAAATTTCCTCTAACTTTGTTTCCTTTGTAGCAGTTTCCATGCTAAATATGATAAATAAATAGTATTTTGTATAAAGCTGAGCATAGAGTATTCAGTAAAATTTTGTTGTTTTTCATAAAATGTGTGCAATAACATAAAGTAGTGGTAACCCACATACAGTATAGTGAAGATAAAATTTGTTTCCTTGCTAACTTTTTCAATGTTTTCTTTAGGGAAGGAAACAGAAAAAGCCAAGGAACGTTATGACAAAGCCACCATGAAGCTTCATATGTTACATAACCAGTATGTGTTGGCGTTGAGAGGGGCACAGCTTCATCAGAATCAGTATTATGATACTACACTTCCTCTGCTTCTGGACTCCTTACAAAAGATGCAAGAAGAAATGATAAAAGCACTGTAAGATATGTTTCTTATTCATCATGAAGTCCCTTTATAAAATGATAGCTACCCATTTTATCTTAAGTGGATTTTGCTTCATAAGCTCTGTTATTGACCCAGCCCAGTGGGTGCCTCAGATCTCTTTGGCCTTGGTCGTACTTGACTTTTACTTTTGGTGTCCCTTCAGTTTGTGCTCATAACCAGTAGCTAGCACTGAGAATGGCACTTCTCTCCTGTGTTTTTGTTTTGTTCTGGATTTAAATGGAAAAATATTTGTTAGATGACAAGTGTTAAGAAGTATCAGACTCCAGAAGGCTGGGAATTCAAATCTTGAACAATTAAGAAGTCTCAAGGAAATAATTTATTTTCTAACTTTCTGTTCCTTTTTTCTGTATGAGATGAAAAAATCAATAAATTTTTGTTGAATGTTTGCTGTATGCAGTGCATTTTGCCTGATGGTTTGAGATGTAAAGATGAGTCAGCCACAGTTCTTTCCTCCAAGGAAGAGTATACTTTAATCACTAAATGAAATATATATAGCATAATCATTAAATAAGATGTGCATATATTGGCCATACACACTGAGGTGGACTTCTCTCATTTGTTGACTCGTTTAGTGCTTTCCAAATGACTACATTCAATTTTGATTCATTGAAAATATATGCAGGGGAGTTCTTCACTGTTAGAGTTGCTGTGGATGTGGAGCTGGAATTGGGAAGAGGGAGGAGAAATGGCCTGGTAGTGCAGGAGAATTGGAGAAGGGACAGACTATTGCTCAGGTGGAGATAAAGTTCACAAATAGTGAATTTTGAGAGAAGGAACTTGGGCTAGTTAAATGCAGGTTTTTGAATTCTAGTTAATTTTCTGTAATTTTATAAATTAGCATGTGAGCTCCTAGGTATAGTGTATTTTGAAATGTTGTAGTTTATTAGCATGAAGGATGATTGTGAAAATTTTACAGTTATGGTTTAAGACAAGCCTGAATATTGAATAAATTAATAGGTGCTAAAACAATAATTAAAGGTAAAATAGTAATTTCTAAAACAAACCATTCCATTTATATAACAAGTTGTAGTTTGCACAGTACTTCTATGTGCAGTTATCCATTTGCTCACTTGTTCTTTTTAGTATTCTGGAGAGTTGGGCAGAACAGGTTATATTCAGGATATATTTGTGTCAGCCACGTTGGGACTGTCCCAAGATCACAAAGCTACAAGGTGGCAGATCTGGAACTCCAAGTGAGGTCTTTTGACCAATCCAGCACTCTTTTCTTGAGACTGATTTTTTGAGTTGAATAGCATACTCCCAAAACTCATGGGTACCTAGATTCTCAGGATGTTATCTTATTTAGAGTTAGGATCTTTGTGGATGTAACCATTTAATTATCGCAAGATGAAATAATCCTGGGTTTAGGATAGTCCTTAAATACAGTGACTGGAGTCATTAGAAGAGGAGAGGACACAGAGGGACACACAGAGAAGGCCGTGTGGAGTCAGAGGCCGCGATTGGAGTTAGGCTGCTTAACAAAAAGGGACATCCTGTGACAGCAAAAGCTGGATTTAGGAAATGCCCTTTTTTGTAAAACTTCCCAGATTGTGTTGGACTGCACATTGCATGTTTTCATAGTTAATCAAAAGGGAAATTTCTTTAAAAAAGCCCAACACCTGATCCAATATTACCCTGACATTAATTAACCTTAATAAAATGGCTTCATTGTTTCCATTGGTGCCATAACAAATACAGTACAATCTGGTGTCCTTATGCAGTTGTTATTTCATTTACATACAAATATTTAAGATAAGGGAGATAGCATCCCAGTGTTTCTTGGTTAATAATGACTTACAGAATTCTGAAAAGTAGGAGGTTGAATTTTCTCTACTGCCTTTCAGAATCTGCATGACTTGCTTTTGCTTCTCTTTATGCAAAAGTTGAAAGAAAACTAGATATTTACTTGTGTGTAGTGAGACTGTTTTAAGGTGTTTTGTGTATATTCACCATAAGAGGATGAAATGAAGAGTTTTTAATCAACTTGAATGTATAAACTTTCCAGTATTGATTAAAATTGCAAAATGTCTACTTATAATAATATAATATAATATTATAATTTAATACTACAACTTTAACCCATACATGTAGTTACTTACTCTGAGTTACACAGTTTTGATTTAGAAGTATTTCCTTTCTGGTTTTCATTTCATGAATCAGTATTTTTTCAAACTGTTCATGTGAATTTTCAGTTAAAATGTCTTTGTCATCACCAGAATGTCTTTGTGAGACAGTCATTTTGCAAGTATATTTTATTTAGTTTGGAATACATTATTTTACATCTAGCATGATGCATCACTGGAATTGGATCCTATGTGATAAGTACCCCTCCGTATAATATTAGGTTTTTTCCTCTCCCTGTCAGTTGCCTTGCAGGTGAATATTAATGATCTTCACATCATAACTATTCACTGAATTGTTCGATTTTAAGAGTTGGCTAGATAGGCTAGTTCACATTAATAACATTTAGTACTTTCATTTATGAGGTTATAACCCCTGCGATAGTGACTAAATCTGTATTAAATTTCCTATCCTTTCCCTCTTCTTAAAATAGTGTCTCATCAGATATTTCTGTAACATTTGAAGCTAACATTGCCTGAAATAGTTTAAAGCTTTCAGTTTTATCCAGTGCTCTCCTAAAATAAAGCTATTGAGGGGAATTTCATCATAAGAAAGTCTTTGTAAGGATTACTTTCTTATGAGCAATAATTCTGGAAAAGAAAAACAGGCCCTGCCTTGTATTTATATGCAAGATAAGCTTGTCCTTGTACACTGTTGTTGAGGCCTCTAACAACCAGGGGTGTATTTTCACAGCATAGTATTTTTAACTAGGACCTCTGGTCTTTGTGAAAAAATAGCTTTTTGCATTTTTTGTTTCTTAGATCAGGCTAATAATTTTTTTAATTTTAAATTTTTTAAAGATTTATTTATTTGAGAGAGAGAGTTATAGACTGAGAGAGGGAGAGAGAGAGCAAGTCTTCTATCAGCTTGGTTCATTCCCCAAATGACCGCAATGGCATGAGCTGGGCTGATCCAAATCCAGGAGCCAGGACCTTCTTCCTGGTCTCCCACATGGGTGCAGGGGCCCAAGCACTTGGGTCATCTTCCACTGCTTTCCAGGCCACAGCAGAGAGCTTGCTTGGAAGAGGAGCAGTTGAGACAAGAACTGGCACCCATATGGGATTCCAGCACCAAAGGCAGAGGTTTAACCTACTGTGCCAAAGTGCTGGCCCCAGGCTAATAATTTTGATGACATTTTTGTAACTGACTTGAGGTCTGGAGGAGATTTAGATGTCACTGAAGGAATAGAACCAGTTGAGCTAAGTATACAGAGAAGAGCCAAGAAGTAGGCTCTTTGGAGTGGTAGACACTGGAAGTGTATATTAAAGAGAGAAGAGTCCATCAGAGTTCTGTGCTATAGATCCAAACTTTGTATAAGAATATTTAAAAATAGAAAGTAACCAACAAATAGAATATCTGTTTGAAAAAATAATGCCTTATTCTATATAATCAGTTGCAATTATTTTATTATGCCAGGTGTAAATTATTAATTTATATATTTTTAAAAGATTTATTTATTTTATTTGAAAAGCAGAGTTACAGAGAGAGAAGGAGAGACAGAGATCTTTCATCTGCTGGTTCACTTCCCAAATAGTTACAATAACCAGGCAGGGCCAAGCCAAAGCCTGGAGCCAGGAGCTTCATCTCTGTCTCTCATGTGGATAAAGGAGCCCAAGCACTTGGGCCATCCTCCGCTGCTCTTCCAGGTGCACCAGCAGGGAGCTGGATTGGAAGTGGAGCAGCGAGGACTCGAACAGGCCCATTATGGGATGCAAGTGTCTCAGGCAGCAGCTCAACCTGCTGTGCCACAGTGCCGCCTGCTAATTTGAACATTTTTATAATCCCTATGTTTTATTCTCCAGGTATATGAAATAAGGAGGTATGTGAAGCTACCAGCAGTCAATATTGATATTGATTGTTCTGATTCCTTTAGGGATTTCATTTCTGTTAATAAATCCATAAAAATGCTGTAACATTTTATTTTTGTTTTTAGGAAAGGTATATTTGATGAATACAGCCAGATAACCAGTCTTGTTACAGAGGAAATAGTGAATGTCCATAAAGAAATTCAGTTATCTGTTGAACAGATAGATCCTACTACAGAATACAATGATTTCATAGATGTTCACAGGTATGATTGTTCATTTCTCTTTAAGAACTTTTGACAGTATTTATTATTTCTCAACCAAATAATAAATAGTATTTCAGAATTCATTAAGACATAGAATATTTCAGATTAATCTGCTTTTGATTTTCAAAGTCCTTTCTCAGTAATAACTGATTTACATGATATTTAAAAGTTTGTCAAGTATTATTGTACAATTGCTTATTTTCTTATTAACATTTATATAATAATATAGTGGTTTAGCATGTGTGTTAAACTTTATTATGTGCTAATGATTTTTGAATGCAAGAATTTAATTTTTATACTTATTGCCATTGTGACAGGAGTAAGCAGATAATATCTGTTTACTACAAATGAGTGAACTATGGCTAAAGTTGCATGACTATGATTTTCACAGTTAGAATTTAATTTGATTTATATTATTTGTGTTGACTTTGTTAAAATAATTTACAATTACCAACAAATACTGCTGTGTAATAGGATATATTAAGATAGTATACTTAATTAATGAAAATTATTTGACATTCTTTGCTAGAACAACAGCTGCTAAAGAACAAGAAATTGAGTTTGATACTTCCTTATTAGAAGAAAATGAAAACCTTCATGCAAATGAAATCATGTGGAATAATTTAACAGCAGAGAGTTTGCAAATAATGTAAGTATTTAGAACATGAAAACAGTTTAAGTATTAGTACTGTTGTTGCTTTGTACTTTATCAGATTTAAAATTCCAAAAAATTTTTCCAAGTAATGAAAAGAAAATTAAGTTAGTTTGACCAGGGTAACATGTTTTGAGAAGTATGTTAATTCTTCTGATTATCATCACTTCTTTAGATAATTCTGAAAAATCAAAGTTCTGTGTGATATTACATATTCATTTGCCCAGTTATTGCTAAGATCTTATATTAGAATAATTTTTAAATCATATTTCATTCTCAAAATTCATTGGCAGAACCATTTTGGGAATATGAAGACTGAACAATGGAGATAATAGTCATTGAAGTCAGAGCAAGAAGTAGAAAAGTTTGAGTTTTTATTGGGCTGTTTTCTCTTGAGGCAGGGATGTCTTCTATTATGTGCTATTAAATCAGCTCCTTTTTTGTTTCTGTTGCATAAAATTTTAAAGGAGTTTTGAGAAGCCTTGTTGTGTTTTTTAGTACTTACAAACACTGAAGGTGATTAATAGTATATATTGAATTCAGAGAACCTAATGAAGACACTATTTTAAAGATTTAGCCTATCCTTATTTTGTTCAGACACAAAGCAACATGCTTGTTAATAAGCCTTTTATGTGCCTGTCTGTATTAGGACAATAGCTACACATAATTATGCACTCATTTCCTTTTGGTGTTGGATATGGGCATGCCATTTCATCTGTTGAAATTTTACCTCAGTTGACTCAGCCAATAGTTCTCATATAATATAATTAATTAATCATCTATTTTTTGTTGTTCAGTTACATTGTCCTGTGGTGGTAAGAAAATTAACTAAAGTAGGATCATGGGGTTAGCTCTTGGAAAGGTATTTGAAATCTTTAAAGCTGGCCAGATGTATTAAAGGAACTAACAAGTTATGGTTCACATATCACTTGTACAAGACAAAGGGATAATTATTATTATAGACTACTGTTCAGAGGAATAGATGCACAGGACTACCCTGCATTAGAGAGCTGTTCTTCACAGCCATATTGAGATTCTTAACACTGCTCTCTAAGTTTTGATGTCTTCCTCTTTGACTGTTGACTTTGACCATTGACATTTCACCCATCTCTAAATCAGTAGTTCTCACCAAGGATGATTTTGTCCTACAGAGGACATTTCACAATGTCTAGAGACATTAGCTTCAGATGCTAACTATCCCTACAGTGTATAGGACAGCCTCCCATAAGCAAGAATTATCTAGCAAAATTTTCAGTAGTATGGAGATTGAGAAACCTTGCTCTAAACAGTAGAGTTAAGTACATACCACAAAATGGCTGGTGATGGCTGGCAGAATTTCTCAATTCCTGCACAGTGAAATACTCTGTGTCTCAATTCATGTGCTATTTGGTGAAGGAATACAGTATAAATTATTAAATTACTCCTTTTTTTCTATTATCATTTCTGTTGCTCCCGGATAATCTATTCTTTTATTCATCAAAGTATGTTTACTACATGTCTAAAATTGTAAGGGTTAATACCTTCAAGGATTTTATAGTGAGTTTGGTAATTTATTTTAATAAATACTCAAAGCAACATATTGGTGTTGAAAAATGTAATGTGGTAAAATTAAAAATTAGTACCTTTAAAAGCGTATGTAAAAATCAAATATATTATGACCTACGAAGAATTTGTTTTCAGGGTATAATGAAAGCAAAATTAGTTATAATAGATCATTATTTCTTAATTATGATGAAGCAATGAGCAAAAAAGTAATAAGGGTAATAAATATTTGATAATATGGTAGAAGATTTAATTTCTTATATCTTAATTAGGCAGAATTTTAGATACATTTCAATAAACAGTGTTTCTATTTAGGAAATGAATTTAAGATTAGGAATTTTTCTAGAATTTTATTTAAGAAAGAGCTTTTCACTATGTCTACTGGCACTGTTAAAGGTAAATCTAGTACAATTTGGGACGTGCTCAATCTGACTTGCCCCAAACGGTAGAGTTAGAAATGTGCCAGGGGATTCCAATTCAATCTCATCAAGGTGGCATGTACCAATGCCATCTCACTAGTCCAAGTGATCAATTTCAGTTCACAATTGATCATAATGATAGGACTAAGAGTCAAAGGGATCACATAAACAAGAATAGTGTTTTCAAATACTAACTGATAGAATAAAAAAGGCAGAGAACGATCCAACATGGGAAGCAGGATACACAGCAGACTCATAGAATGGCAGATGTCCTAAACAGCACTCTGGCCTCAGAATCAGCCCTTAAGGCATTTGGATCTGGCTAAAAAGCCCATGAGAGTATTTTAGGCATGGAAAGCCAAGACACTCTGGAAAAAAAAAAAGAAGAAGAAGAAGACCTAAATGAAAGATCTCTGTGAGTGAGATCCCAGTGGAAAGAACAGGTCATCAAAGAAGGAGGTACCTTTCTCTGAAGGGAGGAGAGAACTTCCACTTTGACTATGACCTTGTCTAAATAAGATCGGAGTCGACGAACTCAGAATACTTCCATAGCCTTGGCAACTCATGACAAGAGCCTAGGGTGATTACTGATGCCGTAAACAAGAGTGTCAGTTTGTTAAGTCAACAACAGGAGTCACTGTGCACTTACTCCTCATGTAGGATCTCTATCCTTAATGTGTTATACAATGTGAATTAATGTTATAACTAGTACTCAAACAATATTTTACACTTTGTGTTTTGGTGGGGATACAAACTGTTTAAAGCTTTACTTAATATATTCTAAATTGATCTTCTGTATATAAAATGAAATCTTGATGTGAATGGGAGGGGAGAGGGAGCAGGAAATGGGAGGGTTGCGGGTGGGAGGGAAGTTATTGGGGGAAAAAGCCATTGTAATCCATAAACTATACTTTGGAAATTTATATTTATCAATTAAAAGTTAAAAAAAAAGTTAAATCTAAAGTAATTTCGTTAAAACACATATGTGAAGATACTTCAAATAGCAGAAAATGGAATTTAAAGATCTATTTAAAGGTGAATGTTTAGGAGAGAAGTGAAGATAACCATGTCTCCTACTGTAGTTCCCTGGTTGATACACAGCTTTGTCTCCTGACTCCAGCTTCCTGCTAATAATGCAGACTCTGGGAGAAGGCAGTGCTGGCCCCTGTGGCTGGGTTCCTGCCGTCCACACAGGAGACCTGGAGTGACTTCCTGGCTCCCAGCCTCAGCCTGGCACAGTGCTGGCTGTTGTGGGCATGTGGGGAAGGGAACTGATGCATTGAAGCTGTTTCTTTCTCATTAAAAAAAAAATTATTGTTGTTATACAAACTTGAAATCCATGCATAGATATTTCATTATACCTATTTTCTGTGAACTTTTTGAAGACACCTAGTGTGTATTTTGAGGATAAGTTAGAAAAGTCTTTTTAACCACAATATTATTGCTTTGAAGTTAAAGAGCTTTTCATTCCTGAAGGCATAAAATTGTTAATTTAGTTATTGTGTCAACCTTATTCTAATTAAAAAAATGAACAGATAATTCTTGGTAAAATAATTATAAATGACTGATAATCCTTAGAGAATAGTTCGGCAAATTATTCTGTTGGGCTAAATTATCTTTGTGAAACTGTACAGATTATTTAGCCCCTTATGATGGAAATTAATGATGTGATATGTACTTTACAAAGTTACTACCTTTTCTCTACTTAAATATGAGGAGACTTCAGATAGTTCATGCAAAGTATACATTATCTTTTAGTTCCATTTTCCTACATATTTTTTGAAGCCCCTTGTATATATCATAAACCATTCCATCATAGTCTTTTTGTGTATATATTTAAAAAGGTGGGTATATATAGAAGAGTTAAACAATTATTTTTAGGCTTGTTTATTTCCTGTTTATAGGAACTTTTTTCCATGATATCTTACCATGTGGTCAAGGGCTATTTCTCAGCTTGGATAACTTTTAGCACTGAACACCTGAAATTGTCTGACTCCTGTTACATGGCTTTTGGATGCATTAGCTTCAGGCTTCAATCTGAGGTTGCTTTTGTTGTTATGTACAGCTTCTGTCCTTTCTGGCCAATAACCTCTCCTTTCTACCTCTTTTTTAAAATTTACCTTCTTTGCCAAATGCTGAAGAGATACTATACTTCATTGATTTTTTAATCATCAACTTATTAAAATCATATATATATAAATATTTCTTCTCAACTAATCACTATTTAAATGAATAATTTGGGACTAAGGAATTTTAATTCATTAAATAAACTGCAAAAATAAAGGCTATAAAAATTTTCAACATTAGAAGAATATATTCAGGAATAGGCATTCTTTATAGTGGTTAAAAGCCACTTGGGACACCCACATCCCATATTCAATTATGTGAGTTTGAGTCCTGACTTTGTTTCCAATTCCATCTTCCTGCAAATGTGCACACTGGAAGGCAGCAGGTAATGGCTTAAGTGATTGGCCCCCTGCCACCCAAGTGGGAAATTTGGTTGAGTTCCCAACTCCTAGCTTTAGATGGCCCAACCCAGGCTGTTACAGGCATTTGAGGAATAAATCAATGGATAATCTCTCTCTCTCTCTCTCTCTCTCTCTCTCTCTCTGTCTCAGTTTATTTCTGCCTTTCAAATAAATATTAATAACAAAAAAGTTTTAAAAATTTTGTAAAATACCTATTATATGGTTTTTGTCATTTTTGAATGGATGTGGCACTCACATTCATTATTCATTGCCAACTTAAATGAAGTTATGTAATCAGCACATCAGTCATTTAATTATGGAAAATTCTAAGACTATTCTAAAGTAATGTGAGCAATAATGTGTGTACCAATGAAGTAGTTTTGATTAATTTTAGCAAAATGATAGATATTTAAGGTCTTTAGGTTGACTTAGGTTCTTTGTTGACTATTTTCTAGTTTAAAACAAGATTCTCTTTATTATGAAATATTATAACCTATTAGTAGGAAATACATTTGAGTTCCAAAAGATTGTATAAAATGTATAGTCATGTATTCTAAACCAAGCTCAA